ACGATTACGGCGATCCGGACACTAATCTGGCCCGACATGAGAGCCCTGAGCCGCCACCGTATGACTTGTCGGCCATCAACTCAACACATGTGGCCCTCATATATACGGCCAACGATTGGCTCAATCACGTCGATGACGTGCAACGGCTCAAAGAGCATTTAAAAGGTGCTAGATATAATTGTTTGTTTGTTTGTTTTTGTTTGTGTTAAACATAATATTCTAGGTGTTTGCGATAATAGCCTATTAATGTTTAATTTTTACAATGTGTTAATTTTAGTTATTTTATATAATTAACACATATTTTTTTACTGATTTTTTGAAATTAAATATAAATATTGAATTATTTTAACTAGATTATTTTTCTTGAAATAGTATTATATTAATAATTTTACTGTAAAAGGCATTAAGTGTTAAACGCTATGAGTAGGTCAGAGATAAGGATTATGAACAGTTAAGTGGAATTAAGACCCATGCATATGGTTCCGAGAAATTGACCTCACTTCAATAATGTGATCTTTTTATTAATAACTATCCGTCCCCGTCAGACATATACATAATTATATATGATTACTTTAAATATTATGTGATTATTTCTAGATGATTTTATTTATATAATATAGTTAATTTGTGATTAATGTAAAATCAGATATTATAATTACAAATTTATATAGTTATATTTGTTTTATGTTTATCTAGTTAAATTACTGGATGACTATCAAGTGCCGGATGAGACGTGGAATCATATGGAGCTGGTGTGGGCACTGGAAACGGGACAGTTGGTCAATCCCCGTGTGTTAAATATATTAAACAAAGCTCACGATAATAGAAATAACAGTAATAATATTAGTAATAAAAATAGTAAAAATACTTAACCTGTAAAATAATTTACCAAAATTTATATAATAAATAATTTACAAACATCAACGCTGTCAATAAACTGTATTATAATTTATTTATCCTTGTTAGATTTTCTAAAAATAATTGTCACTCATAATTTGTATTAAGGAAAAATATCATTAATTTAAATAGTAACAAACAAATGCGATTAACATCCAGATGTAATTTACATACTGCAATGTCTAATTATAATAATGATAAATTAACCGTGTTTACTAAACCATACAATCGCACAACGGTCATCGTGTTGAGTATATTTGTGGCGGTCATATCGTTTTATGTACTGCCCGTATGGCACATGTATATCAGTGTTTTTCACCATAATGATGATGTCGACCGAAACACTGTAAGTATTACTTTCCGATATGTGTTATAAATTATAATACTTTTTTCTGTTAACAAATATTTAGTTTTAATAATGGTTTCAAAAATTAATAAAATTGTTGTTTATTTTTATTTTTTATGATTAATTAATTGTTAATGTGTGTGTGTGTGTGTGATTGATCGAGTATATATTACCCCGTGAATTGGCCAGCCATACGTCATACCCGTTCACCGCCAGCACAAACCCCAATGTATTGCCTACTGGGCTGTCGTTGTTGTCCTCAACCCANAGAGAGAGAGAGAGAGAGAGAGAGAGAGAGAGAGAGATTACCTAGTTTAAGTTGTCTGACAATAGCTTAATAACAAGAATAAGTGATTTACTTAAAATTTGTCAATTATTTAAAAAAAACATTTTACTTATATAAAAATTGTAGTATTGTTTACAGTATACAGTATTTGTAGTTGCTATGCTTTAATCATATAAATTATTCGACCATATTCGCAGGCGGAAATCATTGAGTCACGTGGCTTTCGGACAGAAAACCACTACATAACCACCGAGGACGATTACATACTGACAGTGACCAGGATTATTAACTCGCACGTGACCGATCGAGCTGGTTTACGACCCGTGTTATTACAACATAGTTTTGGAAATAGCGCTAACGTATGGCTGATTAACTCTTTGGGCAAACTTACGCGAGACGGCCAGTGGGTTGAGGACAACAACGACAGCCCAGTAGGCAATACATTGGGGTTTGTGCTGGCGGTGAACGGGTATGACGTATGGCTGGCCAATTCACGGGGTAATATATACTCGATCAATCACACCTATTATGATAGTGGTGGTATGTACAGTAGTAACATTTGATTTTGAGTAAATTATTTGTTTACATTCATTTTTTATTGTGTTTTTCAACTCCTGTTAATAGACCCCGAGTTCTGGAGTTTCTCCATAGACGAGATGGTAGATTACGATTTACCCGCAATCATAGCGTATATACAACGGGAGACTCATAAAAGTTAGTTATATTTATATATAAAATGTTTTTTGTTTATTTTTATGATGGTAAAGTTATATTTTTATAAATTGTAACAAATAAGGAAAATGTGTTTTAATTACGTAATATTAGCTTATCGTTTCATAGTACTGTGGCAGTTTGTATTTTTAATAGGAAAATGTTTAATAAAAACTTTCTTATCATTATCATTATATATGGCCAGACTTTCTCAGACGACTTTATCAGACGACATTCTAATAAATATAATATTGTCATGTCAAAAACTTTCTAAAACCAAAATATTATAGTTAGGTTTGTCAGTATTAAACAAGAAACACCACGTGAAGGTCAACCTAATAGTTTCTCGCCCATTTTTATAAGTGGTTGGCTTACAGTCTATCCACGTTTTTCACCTATCTCATTTTTTAAAGTAAAATAGAGGCCTAAAACTCACATTTTGATTTTTATATGTGATCAATGGGGGTAGTCGATGGATGGTATTGTCGTTTTGCAATTAATGAGTCAAAGTTTGGATACAATTTATTAGCAGCCCATATCCTTAAACATGATTTTAATGTATCATTTGTTAAGCGATTTGTTCTTTTGGATTTGCGGGCTTTCATAAGGGAAAAGAATTGCTCGCAGTTATATGTAGATCCATAATAAGACAGGATTGTCGATGCATTTTCCTTTAATTCTTTATAATAGATCGAATCGAGTTTAGAATAAAATATATTAATGGATTCTTTATTTTCAAACTGAAGTTGTAGTGATCGATCAGATTTTAAACGAGACACTTCAGTTGAAAATTTCGATGGAATGTTAGTCGCACTGAAAGGATTTGTAAATAAATCAAATAAATCTCGATTTGATTTAAAGTCTTCAAATCGCAATTCAAATTGAAGAATCAATTCATCCAACAATTCAATAACATTTCTTGTATTGAAATCAATTGTGTTGTTATTTAATACGTGTCGAACGCAAGAAAAATTTGTGAAATCGAATTCAGTGTTGGAATTAAATAGTGAGTCATCGGGAAAATAAGATCGAATTGTTATTAATAGTTTTAACAATTCTTCAATCACTTTGAATTGTTCAGTTATTGAAGTATTTTCTCCCATTAATAGCAGTTTATTGTTATTCAACAGAACTGTAATGTCAGTTAACATAGCCAATTCAAAATAAAATTGTTTATCATTTGCAATTAAATGTCCATTTGTGTCACGAATTGGTTTCTTCACTTCGTTGTCAAAAAACTTATTAATTTGATGAAATAATTCGAAGAACCGCACTAAACATTCTCCTCTACTGAGCCATCGAATATGACTATAATTTAAAACATCAGAATATTGTGAGTCAATTTCTTTCAAGAATTTGCGAAAACACCGGTGAGTCAAAGCGTGTTTCTTGTTCTTTAGTTTATTGACAGTTTTAATAACTGTTTTCATGATGTTTTCAATTGATGCAGATTTTCCACACAGTTCTTCTTGGTGTATAATACAATGGAAATGTTGCAATTTGTTTGGAGTCTCGTGATCGATATGATTCTTCAGTAGAGTAGCGGTTCCGATGTTGCAGCCGACCATACTTGGAGCGCCATCTGTTGTAATCGACGCTAACTTATTGATATCCAAATTGTTTCTATCAATAGTTTCTTTGACTTTATTAAAGATTGCTTCTCCAGTGGTGTTGGTCTCTAACGACAACAAATCCAACAGTTCATTTGTTTCGTTATAATCAGAATCAATTCCTTTTATAAACACTGCCAATTGTGCGTTATCAGTACAATCGGTGCTCTCGTCAAACGCAAGTGAATATTTGTCAAAGACTTTAGCGTTTAACTGTTCGGTCATGTCATCTGCGATTTCATTCACACGACGTGTAACACTTTGTCGAGAAATTGGCAATTGTTGTACAGTTTGTGCCAAATCATTAGGCAACAGATGATGTGCAACAGAAGTTAAGCATTTGTGAATCAATTCGCATACTTCAAAAGGGTATGGTGAATTGGCGATATGTTGAGAGATTTCATAGACGACACGGAGTTTTGCATCGTTTGAAATCTCATCAGTCGTTTGTGATGATTGTGAAGAGACAAGTGTTGGACTTATAGACATTTGTGATGACATAGTTGTTGAACTAGTGGATGGTTGTGATGAGATATCCATCGCACTAATATCTGGTTCCGTATCAGAATCAGGCTCTGCATACTTCAGACGCTGTTTTGTGTCTTTCTGTGTGCTCATCTCAGCGGGACTCAAATGGTCGTGAAATTTCTCGTGATGTCCTTCAAACACTTCGGTTTTGAATGTTTTGGGTTCGTAAGAACACAAACCACAATACCATTTGTTTTTGGTTTTGTGTTTGAAAAAGAACAACTCGTTTTCCCAATCTCGCTTACGCTTACGCGCTCCCAACCGCGCTTTTGGTGGCATTTTGTTTATTTATTAACACTGCAAAACAAAAAATATATTATTTGTTTGATAGTTTATTTATTTTATTATTAATTATGTTAAATATTGATGTTATAATCTGAACTAGCATAACCCTAACAATTTCACATGATTTTTAGGTGTTTGCACATGATTTTCAAGTGTTTGCACATGATTTTCAGGTGTTTGCACATGATTTCCAGGTGTTTGCACATCATAGTCATGATTTTCAGGTGTTTGCACATGATTTTCAGGTGTTTGCACATGATTATCAGGTGTTTAAAGGGAAAACACATGAAAATCAAGTGAAAACACGTGAAAATCAATTGAAAACACATGAAAATCAAGTGAAAACACATGTAAATCAAGTGAAAACACATGAAAATCAAGTGAAAACACATGAAAATCAAGTGAAAACACATAAAGAAGCATAAAATAAACTAAACTTAAACCTTATCTACACTAACCCTAATGACCACATTATTACAGCCCTCATTGGGCACAGCCGTCAATACAGGTGCAATTCAGCCCACCGCAAGGGCCGGGTGACTGGAAGTGTTACTCCCGTACATCGATTGCCACGACTTGACACACAGTCTCAGTAGCGGTGCAAACGATGGCAGTGCCTATCTCTGCTTAACGGCGTCACCGCACCTGATCCGTACTGCCACGGGTTTACTGGTCAAAAGCTAAATTTTATTAAATGTTATTAAAACTTAATTGAATTAAAAAATTACCTAACGCGTAGTTTGATGTCTAACTAAACAATGGCGTCTATCGCTGGCTCAGCTCACATGTGCTTGATTGTGCGCGCATGCGCAGAAAGCGTTGTAGAAGATCCCATTGTGTAAATAAGGGATGCAGGTATTTTATGTGACACTATTATTTTCAATCTCACATAAATTACGTACACAATAGACTGAAGGTAACGGAAGTATAGATATGATTAAATGAATTAATAATGATTAATCATTATATGGGAAAAACAGTAATATTTTATACATATTTTTCAATTAATTGTCACAAAAGCAACTTAAATGTAAAAACATTCATTTTAAGCATTAATTAATTCACTAAATAATTGAAAAATTGAAAAGTGTTTTGAATTATCGATAAAATTTGAATTCTAATTAAAATTTTATTTTTGAAAATTGACCCAAACTTTAGTCAAAGATATTTTTAATTGATTTGAATTTAATTAAACATAATATCGATTGGATTTAATTGGGAACAAAATAATGATATTCTTAGGAATCGTAACTTTCATATCATTTAAACCATCAATAAATGAGTCCTTAATATAGGGACTCAATAGAAGTTTGAAATACTTGTTGGAAACCCTGTATTCAATACAATGCAATACAAATTCAATCAATTCCTCGATGTCTTCATTGGTATCCAACGACAAGACGTTTAGTTCAGCGAAGAGTTTCATATCATTGATATCCAAAGACCAGCACATATTATATGTGAAATCAATACATAATCGCTTGAGTTGTGACAATTGGGACACAGAATGTATACATTTATGAACACATTGTAGGCAACAATTAGGGCCGTCTTCATCGGGCTCTTCATCGCACTCGCAGTTAATGTAGATTTGATTCAAATGCAAATGTTTGACATTTGGGCACAATTGGGTCAATTGGCTAAACTTTTGAGGCGAATATATTTGATTACCCAAACGTAGATACTTTAGCGAAGGCATCGCTCGCAACATATTTGGATTAAAATCAATGTCCAAAACCGACAAATGTGTCAATTCATTAAGTTTTGCCACGTTTTGGGCGAAGACATTGTTCCCATAGCCTTCAAAGCCTTCATTAAATTTAATGAACAAACGTTTGAGTTTAAAGTGAGTGCACATCTTTGGGTACATCTGAACCCAGTTATAGGCATACAATTCTCTCACACTAAGCGCTTCCAAATGCGGACATCTCTTCATGAGTACATCCAATTCTTTCCCATCTCTTCTCATATCTCTTAGTTTAAGACAACGAATACTTTGCGGCAAATATTCAAATATTGAGGGCATATGATAATTACGACCACTTAAGTCATTCAATTCAATTGATTCAAGTGATGATAATTGTGGTAATAGTTGTATAATATTGGCGTCAATCTTGTCTTCGAGAGTCAAATGTGATAATTGAGACAATAATGGTATCCATGAGTTCGTTATGTAGTCCTTTACAAACATGGAATCCAAATACAAACTCTTCAGTTCCGGACATCGAGTAGTGATCAATGATATCATCTGTCCATCAAATACAGTATTTTTCAGATACAAAGACTTTGTCTTCAAACACTTCGCGAGTATTGAATCCAATGTGTGGTTACTTTCAGACAACGACTCGTGACCTACCACTGACTGGTTATAGCAAAACTTGTGGACACAGGCGTCAGTGATATCTCCCTCTTTAAATGAATGGTAATCGCCAACACATTCACTATTAATGGATCCAATTTTCAGTGCATTCTTCTTCTGGAGAGCA